ACAGCCAAAAGGACAAACAAAGATGTCCTAGAGCAGATCAAGCCAGAAACCTCCCTGGAAGAAGCAAAGATGACCAAACAGAGGCTGTCGTACTTTGGACACATCATGAGAAGAAAGGACTCTTTGGAAAAGACAATAATGCTGGGAAAGGTGGAAGGAAGAAGGAAGAGAGGAAGGCTGTATGGCAGATGGATGGACTCTATGAAGGAGGGCACTTTGGGTATTAAGGGGTTGCAGGAATTAAGCAGAGCAGGGGAGGACAGAGGGTCTTCTTGGAGATCTCTCATCCATAGGGTCGCCATGAGCCGAGATCGACTCGAGGACAGTTAACAACAACAAATATAGAATCGTGACCAAGAGATTTTTTGGAAAGAAGAAAAAAGACCTGGAGGAAAGCAATAAATTTATACTCAAGTTTTATAGTTGAAGAGTACAGAGCCTGAAGAGTAAAAAAAAGAAAAGAAAATTAGCACAAGGTCAGCCATGGCACGGTTTTGATTTCGTTAACTTCATCTTGCAAAGAGTGGCAAGCTGTGTCAGCACTGCTGTGTATCAAGACCCATTTTCCTGCTATTGGGAATACTTGGGCTCAGAAATCTAATATGTTGCCATAGATCGGACTAGTTAAGTGTGCATAAGATTGCTGTTCTTAAGCATTTATCGACTTCAAACCCACACCCTCTGCTCCTCTTAAGGGAGAAAACCTGATTAATTGTCTTAGAACTCAAGAGGAAGAATTTGGAGAACTGTCAATGGCAGAGAGACAAGGAAAGGGGGAGACTCGCCTTCAGTGTTTTTGGAAATGTCTCCAAATGATTTGAGGTCAAAGCCAAGAAAAGTTAGTTGATTATTATTATTATTATTATTATTATTATTATTATTATTATTATTATTGGATCATCACTTCCAGAATCCCCAAACCTACAACTATTCCAATTTAGCAGTGGCTAAAGTCAGCGTGGCATAATGGTTTCAGCGTTGGATTACAACCCAGAAGGCCAGGCTTCAAATCCCAGCTCAGCCATGTAAACCCACAATGACCTTTCGCAAGTCACATTCTCTCAGCCTCAGAGGATGGCCCTGGCGAAACCTGCCAAGAAAACCCCATAACAGGGTCACCTTAGGGTTGCCATAAAGCAGAAATAACTTGAAGGCACACAACAACAATCTCCTAGACTCTGTATTATTATTGTTATTATTATTATCATCATCATCATCATCATCATCATCATCATCATCATTTCTTGTTGTTGTGTGCCTTCAAGTCATTTCTGATTTATGATGACCCTATCACAGGTGTTATGGGTTTTTTTGGGAGGGGGTTCAAGATTTCTTCAGAGGAGGTTTGCCATTATCTTCCCCTGAGGCTGAGAGTGTGTGACTTGCCCAAGGTGGGTTTCATGGCCAAGCGGGTAATCGAACCCCGATCTCCAGAGTCTTGATCCAACCCATTCGGCCATGGAAACCCACTAGGTGACCTTGGGTGACTCACAGACTCTCAGCCTCAGGAAACTCCATAATAGGTTCACCTTATGCTTGCCATAAGTTGAAAACTACTCGAAGGCACACAAGAACAAAAGTGACGTGAAAGTATCCCATTTTAACACTCCACACCATGACAAGCAAGCTGAATAATTTAGCTCCTGATGCTGGATTTCTATTGCCCATACAGCAGAAGTCAACATATTTGGAGATGCGAGGCTCAATCTCCCCTCTCCCTGCCCGGGAAAAGGAATAATTCTTAAAAGGAATAAAGGCTTTGGAGGGCTGGCAAACCATCAACCTAATTTTGGTGAGGCTCTGTGGACTGCAAAGTAAGGATTTAAGCCTGCAGAGGCTTTTTTAAAAATAAAAATAAAAATAAAACCCAGCATGACTTTTGGTAATCTCAATCAGGACAAAACCTTTTTAATATAAGACTTCCCAAGAAGTCAGAAAGATTGTTACCAAAACCATGACTATGCTAGGTTGGCATTCACTGCCCAATTATTTATTTCTTGGTTCTGCAGCATCTGCAGACCTCTGCCAAGCTGGAACTTTTCAACGTCCCAATTATGAGCTGGGTCTTGGGGAATGTCACCATCGCTGTCTTGAGAGAAGACGCCACTGCGCTTGGTTCATTTTGCTCTTGACATATTCTGCCCTCCAGGATGTGATGGAACCGATCCAGTGGACAGAAGGAAGCGCTGAAGTTCCCTAAAAGACAATCTGAAGCAACAGGGGAAAATAATTGGACCCAAGCAACAGATTTGCTCACTTTGGGGGAGAAAAAGTTTTGGCCACGTTCCCTCTCATTTCCATTCTCAATCTTTCTCCACCTCAAAGGAACCAGTGGCATGTGAGTCGCCGCTGATTTCCAGCAAACAGAAACTTTATTTCCAGTGAACCAACAAACCCAAAAGATGGCATGATCTTCTAGATCTCTAGCTTGGCAGATGCGCTTGGACCCAGTGCTGCTCCTGGAAAACCAGGCTGCAGCAGTGACCAGGGGTGCCTTTGCCCAGCTTAGGTTGGAGTGCCACTTGCTCACTTTCTTACAGAAAACAGATCTGGCCACAATGGTTCATGCCTTAGTTATCTCTCGATCAGACTTCGGCAATGTGCTCTACATAGGGCCGCCCTTGGAAAGTGTTTGAAAGCTGCAGCTATTGCAAAAAAAAAAAAA